GCATGCAAAGCTTTAACTGGTCATAGAGACTTTTTAGTTGGAGAGAAAGGAAAAATCTCATACTTATTTATGCATATGCTCTAGAAAATCAGTCTTCTTCTTTCCTAAGTAAAGCTAAAACAGCTTTAGTTGTTAAAAATTTGCTTAAAGGTCATTTAAGTAGGATTCTGTTGGAACATAAATGGAATTTTAGACTGAAGTGTATGTGTGTATATCCACATGCCTAGAATGAACTTTGCCATGTAAAGTACAGCTCCTTTTGAATTTCTGTGGTACTTTGCTAACAACAGATCTTTCAGTGCAAGAGTGTCTGTAAATTTAAAACTAATGTTTTTTGCTGAAAGTAGTAGGAGAACCAATTCTGTAAGTAAAATCAAGTAATGTCCTTAGAATAAATTTTCTTGCTTGAGATTACAACTGTATCTAATACTGTTTCTTTTTCTTCTCATAGTAGGCTGTGCTGGAACAAAAATGCAATGAAAGAAACACTGGATGAATGAATGAAAAGCCCTGCTTTGCAATCCCTCAGCATGGCGGGACTGCAGCTCATGACCCCTGCTTCCTCCCCAATGGGTCCATTTTTTGGACTACCATGGCAACAAGAAGCAATTCATGATAACATTTACACGCCAAGAAAATATCAGGTACTAGTGACAGTGTTAGAAAAAGGTAGATTGAAATCCTTTAATGGAAAAAGCACCAGAGCAGGTGGAGAATGTGCAGTGTTGCACACTGTCCAGGCATGTCTCTCAGCTCCACCTGTTGGGAGCTAATTCTGTAGTTTAGCTTTGTTCTGCATTTCTGATACACCCCATTCCCTGTTCTCAGTTTGTTCTAATGAGCAGAACAACTCTTAAGCTGAGTGTTCTCCTGCTGCTCTCTGCAGAATGCTCTTGGGGGCAAATAGAGTAAACTGTGCATACATCAGGTCTCTTTCCTCTTCTTGCTTACATGTTCTACACAGTAAGTTTTATTTATAATTCACACAGTGGTCAAAGCAGCTCTGTAAGGTCATAAATCCAATCAGGATACTCTGATTATCACTTTGTTAAGGAAAACTGTTTCTGAGTTCTAGAACTTCGGTTCTCTTTGCACTGCAGAGGTGCCTGAAACCCAGTGTTTTGTGAGTTATTACTGAGGATCTTGGATTACCTGAGCTGATGCACTTATTTGGCTAAACTGATGTGTGCAATTAGATTTAAAAGCTGAAGCTTCTTTCTTCACACAATGTATCTAGCAACAGAATCATCTGTTAAAAAGATACAGTTACAAAGCTACCTGAGAGTGAAGTGTGGTAGTGAAGGGTTTTAGATTTAGAAGCTAGACCCTATGTAGTGCGTTAATAGTAATGGAAGGTTGTGACAATACATTGTTTGAAAGAAATGTTGATTGGATGGCACTGGAAAGATCTCAAGAGATACAATTGACTTGTCTATAGTTTATTTATCCCTTGTGTTGTCACTTTTTGTCAGCTTTTTCACTGCATTGCTTCAAGTAAGGACATTTATTATTTTTTAAACCTAGGTTGAACTGCTTGAAGCAGCTTTGGATCATAATACAATAGTCTGCTTAAACACTGGCTCAGGGAAGACTTTTATTGCAGTACTACTCACTAAAGAGCTGTCCTATCAGATCAGGGGAGATTTCAACAAAAATGGAAAGAGAACTGTGTTCTTGGTCAACTCAGGTAAGAGGAGAAGAGTTATACTAAGTTCCTAAACACACTGCTAATATTTCCGTGGAATATTCTGTAGTAGAATTTGTGTGAAAGCAAATTTGGGAGAAGCGTTTGCATAAGGCCTTCAGCAACAAGGATGTGATACCTTTCATCTTTTGTTTATAATCGATTTTATGTGACATGTTCTGTTTTCTGTTTTAAAGACATAGAATCCAAAGTGCAATTTAGTCACCTTTTCAAAGGAAAGTTACCTTCAGTTACCTGTTTTCTTCATGTGGTTTTACATAGAGGCAGTTGCCACATACACCTGGTTTAACATTAGTTTAAGATAAAGATGATGTTAGGAAATGTGGTGCTAGGAAATATGACACATCTTGAAAATGAATGTATGAAAAGACCTTTATGTGAATGAGATATTATTTTTTTCTTAAGCAAATCAAGTTGCTCAGCAAGTGTCAGCTGTCAGGACACATTCAGACCTTAAAGTGGGAGAATATTCAAGTGTAGAGATAACTGAATCATGGACAAAAGAGAAGTGGAGTCAGGAATTCTCTAAGCATCAGGTAATGTATTAAGTATAAACTGTAAGTAAAGTGTGCAGTAGGTTAGGCTTGATCAGAAGTGATTTCTTCTCAATATGCATTCACTTTTTTCTAAAATCAATTCAGCATATTGTTACTATCTGTACATTAATCTTGACACAAAACACTTAGAGGCAGTCTCAGGGTTTTAAAGACTTGTCCTTTTAGTAGTTTTTCAGCCTCCGTGACTCATGATGACAATGATTGCAGAAGAAATTGAGTGTGCAGAGTATACTTTAAATGCCATTAAAACTTTATTAAATATTGGGTAAAAATATTTTATGAAATTAAATGTTCACTGGTGATGCAGCATATTGTCTTTGACCTTTTATTTCTGTCCACTTGAACAACTTTTCTGTATACTCTTTTCAGATGGAAAATCTTTAGCATAATGTTACTGTTTCCTTGGTGGTTCTTAGAACCTTTCTAGTATAATTTTTTTATGCTGACCTAAGTATCTTGCAGTAATGCAAATATTTCTCATTTGGGCTTTTTTCTGTCTGGTGCTTAGTAGTCATCTATGAAATATGTCTGAGGGACTCTGTAGAGGAGAAAGCATTACTATACTTAGTGGAGTTCAAAGTTAGTGTAAAAAGTAGTACATTATTTCATCAAGCCACTGTTCTTGTCTGTGTCAGTGTACAAGAAATAAAGAATTGCAGTAACATCCTGCTTTTGTTACAGCTGCAAATGGTTAGGAGCTTATGAAAATCTTATCTTTATTGCCAGAGACCTGGGACTCTATGGGACTCATAAGGGACACTAAATTAGTATGGGCTTAATGACATTTCTTCTGTATAGTCTAGTGTATTCTTATTTTTTTTCTAGGCATATGAC